TAGCTTCACTTTTCCCAATGTTTGAGGGAATCATTTTATATGCAGAGCGTAACTACATGTCCTGGATTTCTAGAACTCTCCTGATTTTAGAAAATTTATTTTCTTGTTTAATACGCAATGCAACATCTCAGAGTATCTCCCTCTGTCAGAATTATCTTATAACTGAGCCCTAATATTCCAGGCCAATGTAGCAACTCGGGAAGCGGGGTCACTCTGCCCAGGCTGTGTAGGGTAAGGTAAAATAGTGTCAGGCTTTTCTGCCCTCCTGCCATTAGTATGGATGATGGATCCCTGAGATCCTGAATGCATGCCTGATGGTGGGCACCTGGTGTGGGGTGTGGGCGTATGTAAGTGGGTACACCTGGACTGAGACTGGGCTTTTAGGGGCGGCATCATGGGGACACCAGGATAGCAAAAGAAAGCACCAGCAGAGAAACAGAGGCCACGAGAGAATGCCGGAGAGCCCAGAAAGAGTGAAGATTCGCTGGGGACCGTGAGGCCTGCCAGCCTCCCTGGGCCACCCCACCCACCCCCGCATCCCTGCCTGCCATGTACCTTGTAAATCCCAATAAAAGACTGTAAAAGCCACCGAGGGCTCCAGGACTCTAACATCTGCATCGGGTCACAGAGATCCTGCTCTGTGCCTTTTTAGCACTACACTCTGATTCCAGGCTTCATTATTTTTCAACGTAAAAGTTACCCAGTTGAGACAGTGGCTGTTTTCAGAAGTATGTTCCTAGGGGGGAGGAAAGGGGAGAGGAAGGACTAGGGTCAGAATAAGGGGGGGTTGCAATTGTATGGGAAATATAACAAAAATGATAATGCATATATTGTGCAAAAATAAAAAATGATGAAAGAATTATATAGAATAAAATATTAATTAAAAAAGAAGTATGATCCTCTCTTCCTCACACACTAACCGTTATACTTTTCTTACATAACGTGTTTTAAGAAAAAAAATGCTTATAATCACATACATTGGGAACAGTGCCCCACACCCCCCTGCACTGTTTGCTCCCACACCTTGGAGAGATTACCTTGCAGTCTCAAGAGACGCTGTGGGTGGGGTTTCCTGTAAGGGGATGAAGGAGCTCAGATGTGATTGGTGCTCAGTGATGCTGGTGGAAAGTGTTGTCTGTAACTGCCAGAACCCAAGACTTGACAGCTTCCAGAGCAGGGGTGAAGGCACCCCAGCTACAAGAGAGGGATCATGAGACACTGGGATGCGCTCTTGGGGTTTCTGTGGGTCCAGGTTTGCTGTGAGTTGGGGCCTTCCCAGATGGGGTATGGAAGACCTCCCCAGCTGAGAGTGGGGTGTGAAGGGGTTGCTGACTTGGAGCTCCTAGGGGGCCCTTCATGCTCTTGGGTGTTTCTTGGGAACTTTTACAAGTCTAAAATCTGCATTGTCACTGCCCATTGGGATCATATGTGTCTGTTCTTCTCTCTCCACGCAGGGGTGAGAGGGATGCAGGTGGAGCAGAATCCTGCATCCCTGAGTCTCCTGGAGGGAAACAGCTACACTCTGACATGCAAGTTTACTGATGCTGTGCAAAGAGTGCAGTGGTTCCGACAGAACCCCGGGGGCGGCCTGGTCACCCTGTTTTACATAGCTTCAGAGACTCCGAAGCAGGAGGGAAGGTTAACCACCACACTGAGCTTCCAGAAGCGGCACAGCACCCTGCACATCGAGGGCGCCCAGCTGGAGGACTCAGACACCTACCTGTGTGCGGGGGAGGCACAGTGCTCTGGGGTGATGTGCAGCCTGTACCCAAACTGCAGCAGGGCCCCAGCCCCTCCCCTTCCTGGGAGTGGGGGCATGTCTGTGTCTCTGCAAGGCTCCAAAGAAAAGGGCAGTAAACATTGTTGATAAATTATTTTAAATAATGTACACATGAACTCTGAAATAAAACTTCAGATTATAGTTCAACAAAGGTTAGAAACCCTCGATTTAGAAATAGCTGGAAATTGGAAAGCAAATATCTGTGGGTTTAGAAATAGAAATGAAAGTTAATAACTTAAATAGAAATCAACATTTCATGTGAACTTTGAACTAATTTAAAACAAAATATTAATGCAGAGATAATTTTAAGTTAATTTTCCTTGTGAGTAAAAACAGTGATGAAATATATAATAGGCAGTCTGACTAATATATAGATCATGAAGCCGTATATTATTCGTCATACACTCTATACAAGTTACATAAATGTCAGAACAAGCACTGAAATGTCAATGTACAAATTTACATTTAAAATTATTTATGGGGCCAAATTTAAATTAAAATTAAATTATGGGACCTGGTGGCGCAGCAGTTGAGCACTGGGCTGCGAAGCTGCCTGCAGCCTCTGTAGCACCGGTTCGATCCCCGGCAGGGCGAGGGTCCCACATGGCGCGCAGACCTCTCCTGCCACCCGCTGCTCCCCTCAGTCTACCTGTTCTGCTCCTCACTCTGGCTCTGGTGAATTCTCTCACCCTCCTGCGCTTCTGACTGTACCCAGTGCTTGCATAAATAAATAAATCTTTAAAAAAAATAAATAAATAAAAATAAATTATGACTTACATGAAACTCATATGAAGAGTTAAATCATTTGTAGAAAAATTGTTCTACCATAGACAGCTCTAGCTAGATTTACTAATATTTTATCTCAAGTTAATTAAGTGGATAGTTATGCAATATTGCCATAGCATATAAAATACCTTAAGAACCCTAGCGTTGAGGAATCAACCGAAATACCCTTCTTAAAATTAAAAGTTACCAAAAATTCTGTTTGCAAGCTTGCATTTACCAATAGTAACTGAGTTTCCTTTCAATTATATTTGCTGAAATAAAGTTACTAAACATTAAATTTGATATTCTGATAAATTAACTTGCTGGAAAGCAATCCAGGGAAATCTTATTATTGTCAAGATAGCTCTCTAACAAAAATATCACCAGTTATTACATAAACTTATGAACAAATTTTTTTTTTTGCAATCTGTAAACTTGCATTGTTATTTATTATCATTATAAATGCTATTTTTGTCTAGTGAGAAAATATTTTTAAAGAGCAATTTATATTTTATTGCCAGTTCATTATCACTGGCTGGAGGAGTAAGCCATGGTGCCGGTGCTGTCTTCAACATTCAGATGTAGTTGTAGGAATTTCCTAGAAATAGTAAAAAGTATTTATTTCCCTGGTACACATGTCTTAGAGTCAAGGTATAAATATAAATATGAATAGAATATAGAACATCAGGAATACATTGGTATAAAAATGATCCTGGAACCCAGAGACTAAGGGGAGCGTTGTCCTCATGTAGCTGGCAGTCTGGGAAGGTACTAGAAAAGACCTTTCCAGGTCAAGACCTTTGGATGATGAGTCAGCAGTATTCCTGAAACAATCATGAGGCAGTGACTTTTGCTCAGGGCGGGCTCTACCTATGCTGCAGTTAGTACATGCAACACTGTGCGGAACTGAGTGTATTCCAAGAACAACATTTTATTTACAATGATACAATAACTTGAAAGGGCAAATGCTGACCTAAAGCATAGCTCTAAGAAGAGAAAAATTTGGCTAATGAAAGATTTGAGAATTTTATCCCATGGAGGCTGGTTGAGAGGACAATCTCTAGAATAGAGAAGTTTTAGATAAATATAGAGAAACATATTTAATATTTTAACACCAGGTATAGGTTGGTTTGTGATTCTTCATCACCGTTAAGTCTTTAAGGATATAAAATGTGAGTGAGGGGTTACATTTATTCCCCATTACTCCAAAGAACCAGTGAGTACAAATCACAGGAAAGCAGATTCCATTCTGGAAATGTGGGAGTCTTGTTTTCCAGGGATCACATCTCATGATCAGTTCTTTGCAATTAGTTACTTGTGCTATTTATGGCAGACACAGGCAATATTTAGTTGTCCTAATTTTATTTCATACAAGGAAATCAGAAAATACCAATACGCTAATGGAGACAAGAAAGGGATTTTGGCAGAGGGAAAGGATTTTGGGAATTTGTGGAACTGAGGAGTGGTACCAATGTCTCGGGGAGAGCACACTACACAGGAATTTGGCAGAAAAGCTATAGCATATGGGTTTGGACCAGCAATGGCCAGCCAGCAGGATCCAGGCCAGGAGAGGAAATTTCACTAAGGATGAGAGTCAGTCGTATCTTTAGGGACATGTTGTCCCTTTGATATCAGAAAAGCAACTGTGAAATGAAGTCTTGTAGGATTACATTTTCTACATGAGTCTACTCTTTCTACTCTTCTAAGAAAATTTCTTTCAATATTTTGTAGAATATAAGACATACAGTATTGAAGTAGATTACTTAAAGCATAGAAGACATCTCATTTGCAAATCCAAACTCTATGGGTCCAACTCTTTCCTAGTTGAAATATTAATAACCCACTGAGTTATCCCTTGCCCTTTATCATTGAGATATGATTCTTTACCTCTTATTACAAATCATCTTTTTCCACATCTTGCTATTGACACTTCTCTGAAAACAGCAAGGTCATGGGCAGACCCAATTTAAAGGCACAGAGTCTAAACTAATAGGCATTTGAAATATTGAATGTTCTTCACTCTTGTTTTGAATTCAGCTTACATGTATTTTTTTTAAAGTTTTTATCTATAGCTGACAAATTAGGTTAATTAGACCGAATAGGAAGACATTATCTCTTCTTTCTTTAAGAGTGAATCCTGGTGCCCTCCTGATTTAAACATGTAAACCAAGCCCTTGGTTGAATAAATACCAACAGCATTTACTGTGCATTCGGTCTCTGATCCTTGACCTAATTTATGTGACCTTTGCTGTCTGTGTGTGCTTGAGCCCCTCATAGACACTGGTGAGGGCACATCCAGCCAGACTCCAGAGGCTGAGGACGTGACCACTAGGTGGCAGTGCCCCTCTGCTGAGGTGGGCACTGGCAGGACTCATTTCATGGGTTCTGAAAGCACAGACTCTCAGGGGAGGCAGAACCTTTCTGTAATTGGCGTAGATCATGTGAGGAAACCTCTATGGTTCCTAGTAAGAGACAGGACTGCCTGATACTAGAAGTAGCTGTTGACTGGAGGTTGCAGTGCGTGGTTGCTCCTGGTGGGAGTAACAATGAAGACATCCAGTCACGCTTTGGTCGTGTTCCTGTGGCTGTGGATGGACTGTGAGAGGAGGGATTTGGGGAAACAAGTATAATAAAAAGAAAGTCTTTAGCAAACAAGAAGGCCAATGGCTTAATGGCTTCATTTAGGTCGACTTTAGCTTCTACTGAGAAGAGAAATAAGTTCTGGGGAGTTATAACTTGACAAACTCCCTTTCTTTGACTTTCTTTCTCCTTAGGGCTCAGCCAGGGGGAGAAAATGGAACAGCCTCCCTCCCTGAGCGTCCAGGAGGGAAACAGAACTGTTATCAACTTACTTATTCTGACAGTACCTCCTATTACTTCCTTTGGTATAAGCAAGAACCTGGAAAAGGTCTCCAATTCATTATAGACATTAGTTCAAGTAAGGGTGATAATCATGGACCTAGACACACTGTTTTTTTGAATAGAAGAGTCAAACTTCTTTCCCTGCACAACCCAGTCACACAGCCTGGAGACTTTGCTGTGCACTTACTTCTGCGCAGCGACTGCAAGTGCTACCCCGGCACATACAACCTGTAGTGAAAGCTGCACCTGGCAGCCCCTCCCCTTGAGCACAGGCCTTCCCTCAAGCACAGTCTTTGTCATACTGTCTGCAGTGGGAAAAATGTATTAGATGTTAAAGCATATGATAAGGTTAGGCTCAAAATGATCCAGAAGCATTAGAATATTTTGTTCACTGATATTTGTTTAATGGATTTCTTTTTAAAAAATATTTATTTATTCATGCATACAAGATCTGGGGTAAAGGCCAGAGGTGTGTGGGGGGGGGGGGTGAGAGGATTCACCAGAGACAGAGTGGGGAACAGAACAGGCAGAATGACTGAAATACAGTGCTGAGGGGAGCAGCGGGCGACTCAGGAGAGGTCTGCTGTGCCATGTGGGTTGCTTCCTGGCTGTCCAGGGATCGAACTCATGCTGCAGAGGCTGTGGACAGCTTCATGGTGCTGCCTCTTAACCACTTGCGCCATATGGAGGCCCCTGTCTAATGGATTTCTGTAGTGATATGGTGATGCTTTGTTTTGATGTTCAGACTTTAAAGATAATTTACATTTGGTCTTAAGACTCAGCTCATATCAACAAATCCTTGGTAACACTATCACATCGTTGAACTCTTAACTTTTGTCTTTATAGCATTGCATATTGTTCATGATTACAAAATATTACATAGTAAATATGAATATATTTACAATATGAACTTGAAAAAGTAAATCAGCACCCAAATAATTTGTGGTGTATACTGGTCTCATCTTCATGTTTGACTAATGAAACATCACTTCCCCAATTTCTTTATAAAAAGTTAATTCTTTTAGTACTATAGATGAATGAATAGAAAGAATTTGCGTAACAAATGAATTCCTTATTTGTTGCACACAGTTTTCAACTTCATATTCCTCTGTGGATGGATATAGGAGCATTTACTGGACCAGGTGGTAGCCATCAACCGAGAGTTACCGTGAACTTGTTTGTTCTTGGAGGGACCGTCATTCGGTTAAATACACTGCTGAGGGGAGCAGCGGGCAAGTCAGGAGAGGTCTGCTGCGCCATGTGGGTTGCTCCCTGGCCGGCCCGTGTTTGAACTCCTGCTGCAGAGGCTGCAGATTGCTTCATAGTGTGGTGCTTAACCCCTTGCGCTACCAGGGAGGCCCGGATAGTTGTCTTAATCACATATATATATATACGATTTTTCCAATAAGGCAACACTCACCATTTCCAGAGATTAGAATTTGATTGCACATAAAAGTATCTTGTTTATGTCAGTTGGCAATCCTGGTGTTTTCATCTCCAAGTTGAGAAAATAACAAATAACAAATAACAAATAACAATTTCCCTGCTCTCAAGAACTCCCTTGTTCTGTGTCATTTTTGGCCACACTTTCCGCCATCCCTAATTCCTTATAATCCTTGATTTGTTTCTTTATGTTTCTGTATTTTTAAGAATATCATATATAATTTTTTGTCTGTGCTGTTTTCAAATTAAGATTGGATCATCCAAAGGCAGGTTGAGACTCCGCACACAGAGAACCTGACATGACCCCCACTAACCTGCTGCCCCAGGAGAACCCTGACCCTGCTCTGGGGCAGCAGCAGCAGCACAAACCCAGTAAACCCCCCTCGCCTGGCAGGATCCCCTCACAGTGCAGAGCCCGACACTGAGGAAGAACATGCTCCTTCCTGTCTGGTGCCAGAACTGAAACGTGCTGTTCTCTGGCCTTGAAGGATATAGCCTTGGTGTCCCTGTGGCTAGGGAGGGGGGCCCAGTGTGGGAAAGTACCCCCTCTGTGACCTGAGGATCTGGGGTGCAGGTGTGTGTGGTGGGTACCCGGGGAAAGAGTAGCATGCTGTCCACATTACTTATTCCTAGTCCCTGACTCTATCTTTTTCATTCCAAGATGCAGAATTGCCCAGATGGTGACTCAACCCAACAGGCAATGTTAGTGCAGAAGGAGACCAAGGCTTGAACTCACCTATGCCACCAGTTCTGTGAGTTCTGTGAGTCATAGTTTACTTTGGTACGAGCTGTCTAGACATCGGGACATGAGTTTCCTTATTCTCCAGGATTCTTAAAACCAGCAAAATGCAACAAAAGTTGCCAGAAGACCAGAAGACCTGCAAATCCATCAGTCCTGTTATCTCAGAGTCACAGCAGGCAGACTCTGCAGTGTATTTCTGTGCACTGAGTGAACCCAGGTGAGAGGCATTTTGGGGGAGGTTTACCCAACCCCTGGGCTCTGCTAGGTGCCTCCACTTTCTGTGGGAACCACTGTGCTGGACTCTCATCACTGACAGGACCTACCTAGGGCTGTTGTAGCACAGGTATAAGTATAAGGTGAGTTGGAAAACACTCACTTTGAGAAAATCGTTCTCAGGTTTAGAGACTGGCCAGAATTGTTGGTCATCAACAATGCCTTTATATCATTATATAAATCATTATATTGATTGTGCACATAAGAATTTTGATCAAGGATTCAAGAATGAGGACAGTCACATACCCTCTTTGCATTTGGTGACTGTATGAGCTAGTGAATTGATTAAGTTCAGAAGCAAAGCCAGAAAAATTAACCAAAATATGTGTGAAATCTTGGGTTATCAGATCAATTTGTTCAATAATTATTTATGAGCATGTTTTGTAGGAGGGGAAATACTCTATCTTCTTTGGATCTGGGGCTGGGTCTAGAATTAAACTCTCATAAGATATTAACAGGAAAAAAACAGACATTTTATTACATTTTTACATCAAGTCTTGTATCGTATAATGATATGTTCTCAAGTTTCATCCATTTTATAGGAATTTCTTGCTTTTAAAAGTCTGGATAGTATTCAACTGTATGTAGTACCAGCCCTGTGAATTCATTTATTTGTTTATAGACATTTGAGTTGCTTCCATCTTTTTTTTTGGTTTTTTTTTTTGCAATTTTGATTAGTAATATTGTGAACATGTGAATACACATTTCTTGGTATTTGAGTGCATACCCACATTACTTTAATTTGGAGGGTTTATACCTACACTGGATCTGGTGGTTCATCTGGCAATTCTGTTTTTAATTTTGAAGAACGACCGTTCTGTTTTATACAGTGGCTGCCTTTTTAAATTCTCATGAACAGTGGAAAGGGTTTTATTTTGCATACCTTTGTCATCACTTCGTTTCTTTCATTTTTGGAGGGTTTTCCTTTCTTTCTTTTTTTGGACAGTATATACCCTATCCTAATGGGTTTGAGATGATCTCTCATTCAGGGTTTAATTTGCATTTCCTGAGAATTAGTGATGTTTAGCTGTTATTCAGATTCCTAAGCCCCACCCAAAGACTGGTATGTGCCTGATTAATAAAGTCAAGACTTGGGAGGGGTCCAGGAAACACACAGACCTTTTCAGACTCTGTTCACCAGGGGGTGCAGCTTCTCAACACAGGCACATACTTTCTGAGAGAAATGCAGGCTGGCTTGATCATTTCACTGTGACTTCTGCATTTCTTCTTGTTGAGAATCAAGAACCTTTAGGTGACTCTGTAGAGATGAACTCTTCTCCAGGCTTAGTGGCTGCGGTCCTCTTAGTGCTTGGTAAGTTAATGCCTGTTCAAATTTGGAATTTTTCCCCTGTGTTATGTCAGCAAAATCTTGAACTGTTATGTAAGTAAATTATTGAACCATAATTTTATCTAAAAGCTTTATGTCCTAGATGACACAAGTCTCTTTTTTTTTTCCAGGACAAACACATGGAGACTCTGTGACCCAGCAGGAAGGCCAAGTGACAGTCTCAGCAGGGGACTCCCTGAATGTGAGCTGTACTTTTTCAGCCTCAGGATCTCTCACTCTTTTCTGGTATGTCCAATATCCCGGAGAAGGTCTACAGCTCCTGCTGAGAGCCCTGACAAGCAATAAGAAGGAGAAAAAAGAAGGTTTTGAAGCCACTTACCGGAAAGACTCCAATTCCTTCCACTTGGAGAAAACCTCAGTGCAAGAGTCAGACTCGGCTGTGTACTACTGTGCCCTGGGTGACACAGTGACAGAAACTGCAGGGGGTGCTGAGCGCAAACTGAGCAGCAGCAGGGGCCTGGCTGCTGAGTGCCTCTGAGTATTTCATTCACTGTGGTTTTAGCACAGTCTATGAACATTTGTCTCCCAGTCTGGTTAATTCACAAATCATACAAAAGTCCAGAGCATAGGGACAAGAAGTAAGCATTCCCATACCCCACTCTTCATTTCATAATAAAATTGCCACAGAACCAAACCAAATAGAATTCCACAGAACCAAACCATATAGAATTCCTCACATATCTTCAAGGTAATAAAAAGAATGCCCCAAAATGTTTATTGCAGTGTTATCTTTCATAGATAAAAGAATAAACATCTTAAATGTTCACTAATAATGAAGGTATGTTTTCCCTCATATGACATTTTAAAAATAGAAATTGGTTCTTTTAAACTTCGGGTGAAGCAAATAAGGTAATGTCTTTTTCAATCATCTGCATATCCTTCCTCAGGAAACATGGAGTGAACCGGGCTGAGGTTGTGTGGCTGCTGGGCTGGTGCATCTGAACTAGTCTTTATTGATGATTTCAGCCCACCAGGGGGCACTGTAGACCTTATAAGACAAAGGCCTCCTGATGGTCCCAGATGTTGAACCCTTAAGACTCAGACAACGTTGAGTACGTGTAGCCAAGGCTGAAGAGGGGGAAACAGTGGTGTCTGTGAAGTTCACCTCAAGTTTTCAATTTTGCCACTCTGTATACATAACACTTCAGTCCATGCTGGATAAATTTGCGATGACACTGATCCTCTGGCTGAGCTACGAGAAAAGGAACATCATAGGGCACGTGAGCCTGGAGGGTCATCAGAACACCGCTCCTTTAGCTGTTTTCAATTTTAAAAAAAGTTATGACTAGAATACCCCAAATTCAAAAACTTGAAAATAATTCTAGTACAACTAATATCTACTATCCTACCTTTTCATCTATTTCCATTGGGACAGAAAGGTATAAGAATAACAACAGTAGACGAAGGGGTGAACAAAAAGAAAAAAGGAAAGAAACACAAATAGAAGAAGGAAAGAGAAAGGATTATAGCTTGACAGCAGTGAGTGCCCTGAGCAGAGTCAGCCCGTGGGTCAGGACTGTAGCGGAGGAGAGGAGAGGGGGAAATTAGTGTAGATATAGCTTCACTTTTTCCAATTTTTGTGGGAATCATTTTATACGCAGAGCGTAACTACATGTCCTGGATTTCTAGAACTCTCCTGATTTTAGAAAATATATTTTCTTGTTTAATACGCAATGCAACATCTCAGAGAATCTCCCTCTGTCAGAATTTTCTTATAACTGAACCCTAATATTCCAGGCCAATGTAGCAATTCGGGAAGTGGGGTCACTGTCCTCTGGCTCTGTGTAGGGTAAGGTAAAATAGTGTCAGGCTTTTCTGCCCTCCTGTGCTGCAGGAGGCCTTGTAGCCCCAGCCAGATAAACTACTGGCAAGCAGGGAAGCTCAAAGGGCCTCACACCGTGGGGCTGAAGATCTAACATCCCTTCACTTTTTGTTCTTGGTCATAAAAGGAGAAAAATTTCCCAAAAAGTACATTAGGCGCTACATTATATGCATCAATATACAGTAAATAAACGGCTTGGAAAATTATCTCTTAAAAACTAATTATTAAACAGTTTGGCCCACTTGACAATGGGCGACAGGTTATTGAACATGCCTGACAAACATTACAATACAACTATTATTCTAAGTCCTTCTTTTGCCTTCCCTTGAAGTTTATTGGGAAAGTTCTTAAATGAAGCTATTTGTGTTAAGGAGTTTCTAGGTAAAGGAAGTTCTGATAGCTGAGTAGCAGCCAGCCCCTGGTGTGAAGGCCATGAGAATAAGAAAAGTTCTTTCTTTGCTTTGGCTTTAGCTGATGGGGATGTTCCGTTGGCTATCAATTGTATTAGGCTATTGTTTAGCTAAAACAATGAATTTTAGTGTAAGACTTAGTTTTTTATTAACCTTGAAGGTTGCCTTCTTGCTGAGAGCACAGAAAAAGAGTTGCACTAATTGTTTCTGCTTTGTTTCTATGCTCTTGATAATATAATCTCAATGCTTGCAAAAAATGTATAAATAAAGAACCTGCTGAGCCTTTCAGCAGAAGATACTAACACCTCACCAAGTGTCGGTGTCTCCTCATTCCCTTCCCCTCAGTCCCTAAGTTTCAGATCATTCGTATTCGCCGAGGCCTTCTCATCCTTTCAGGAACCCCTGACAGACATTTTGCGGGAGGCTGGTCCCCGGCACTCCTGCCATTAGTATGGATGATGGATCCCTGAGATCCTGAATGCATGCCTGATGGTGGGCACCTGGTGTGGGGTGTGGGCATATGTAAGTGGGTACACCTGGACTGATACTGGGCTTTTAGGGGCGGCATCATGGGGACACCAGGATAGCAAAAGAAAGCACCAGCAGAGAAGCAGAGGCCTGGAGAGAATGCCGGAGAGCCCAGAAAGAGTGAAGATTCGCTGGGGCAGGGAGGCCTGCCAGCCTCCCTGGGCCACCCCACCCACCCCCGCATCCCTGCCTGCCATGTACCTTGTAAATCCCAATAAAAGACAGTAAAAGCCACTGAGGGCTCCAGGACTCCTCTAACATCTGCATCGGGTCACAGAGATCCTGCTCTGAGCCTTCTTAGCACTACACTCTGATTCCAGGCTTCATTATTTTTCAACGTAAAAGTTACCCAGTTGAGACAGTGGCTGTTTTCAGAAGTATGATCCTAGAGGGGAGGGAAGGGGAGAGGAAGGACTAGGGTCAGAATAAGGGGGGGGGGTACAATTGTATGGGAGATATAACCAAAATGATAATGCATACATTGTGCAAAAATGAAAAATGATGTAAGAATTATATAATATAAAATAGTAATTAAAAAAGAAGTATGATCCTCTCTTCCTCACACACTAACCCATACACTTTTCTTACATAATGTGTTTTAAGAAAAAAAGTGCTTATAATCACATACATTGGGAATAATGCCCCACACCCCCCTGCACTGTTTGCTCCCACACCTTGGAGAGATTACCTTGCAGTCTCAAGAGACGCTGTGGGTGGGTTTCCTGTTAAAGGGGATGAAGGAGCTCAGATGCGATTGGTGCTCAGTGATGCTGGTGGAACGTGTTGACTGTAACTGCCAGAACCCAAGACTTGACAGCCTCCAGAGCAGGGGTGAAGGCACCCCAGCTACAAGAGAGGGATCATGAAACACTGGGATGCGCTCTTGGGGTTTCTGTGGGTCCAGGTTTGCTGTGAGTTGGGGCCTTCCCAGATGGGGTATGGGAGACCTCCCAAGCTGACAGCGGGGTGTGGAGGGGTTGCTGACTTGGAGCTCCTAGAGGACCCTCCATGCTCCATGTTTCTTGGGAACTTTTACAAGTCTAAAATCTGCATTGTCACTGCCCATTGGGATCATATGTGTCTGTTCTTCTCTCTCCACGCAGGGGTGAGAGGGATGCAGGTGGAGCAGAGTCCTCCATCCCTGAGTCTCCCGGAGGGAAACAGTTACACTCTGACGTGCAAGTTTACTGGTGCTGTGGATAGAGTGCAGTGGTTCCGACAGAACCTCGGGGGCAGTCTGGTCACCCTGTTTTACATAGCTTCAGAGACTCCGAAGCAGGAGGGAAGGTTAAGCACCACAATGAGCTTTAAGGAGAAGAACAGCACCCTGCACATCGAGGGTGCCCAGCTGGAGGACTCAGCCACCTACCTGTGTGCGGGGGAGACACAGTGCTCTGGGGTGATGTGCAGCCTGTACCTAAACTGCAGTTGGGCCCCAGCCCCTCCCCTTCCTGGGAGTGGGGGCATGTCTGTGTCTCTTCAAGGCTCCAAAGAAAAGGACAGTAAACCTTGTTGATAAATTATTATAAATAATGTACACATGAACTCTGAAATAAAACTTCAGATTTATAATTCTCCAAAGGTTATAAACTCTGGATTTAGAAATAGCTGCAAATTGGAATGCAAATATTTGTAGGTTTAGAAATAGAAATGAAGGATAATAACTTAAGCAGAAATCAACATTTCATGCCATCTTTGAACTAATTTAAAACAAAATATTAATGCAGAGATAATTTAAAGTTAATTTTCTTTGGATGTAAAAACATTTATAAAATGTATAATAGGCAGTCTGACTAATATATAGATCATGAAGCCATATTTTATTCGTCATACACCATACACAAGTTAGATCAATGTCAGAAGAAGCACTGAAATGTCAATGTTCAAATTTACATTTAAAATTATTTATGGGGCCAAACTAAATTAAAATTAAATTATGGGGCCTGGTGACCCAGCAGTTGAGCACTGGACTGCGAAGCTGCCTGCAGCTTCTGCAGGCATGGTTCGATTCCCGGCAAGGTGAGGCTCCCACATGGCGCGCAGACCTCTCCTGCCGCCCGCTGCTCCCCTCAGTAGGCCTGTTCTGCTCCTCACTCTGGCTCTGGTGAATTCTCTCACCCTCCTGCACTTCTGACTGTACCCAGTGCTTGTATAAATAAATAAATCTTTAAAAAAAATAAATAAATAAAATTAAATTATGACTTACATGAAACTGGTAGGAAGAGTTAAATCATTTGTAGAAAAATTGTTCTAGCAGAGACAGCTCTAGCTAGATTACTAATACTTTATCTCAAGTTAATTTAGTGGATAGTTATGCAATATTGCCATAGCATATAAAATACCTTAAGAACCCTAGTCTTGAGGAATCAACCGAAATACCCTTCTTAAAATTAAAAGTTACCCAAAATTCTGTTTGCAATCTTGCATTTACCAACAGTAACTGAGTTTCCTTTCAATTATATTTGTTGAAATAAAGTTACTAAACTTTAAATTTGATATTCTGATAAAAAACTTGCTGAAAAGCAATCAAGGGAAATATTATTGTCAAGATAGATCTCTAACAAAAATATCACCAGTTATTACATAAACTTATGAACAATTTTTTTTTGCAATCTGTAAACTTGCATTGTTATTTATTATCATTATATTCTATTTTTGTCTTAGTGAGAAAATATTTTTAAAGAGCAATTTGTATTTTATTGCCAGTTCATCATCACTGGCTGGAGGAGTAAGACATGGTGCCGGTGCTGTCTTCAACATTCAGATGTAATTGTAGGAATTTCCTAGAAATAGTAAAAAATATTTATTTCCCTGGTACACATGTCTTGGAGGCAAGGTATAAATATAAATATGAATATGAATATAGAGCATCAGGAATACACTGGTATAAAAATGATCCTGGAACCCAGAGACTAAGGGGAGCATTGTCCTCATGCAGCTGGTAGTCTGGGAAGGTACTAGAAAAGACCTTTCCAGCTGAAGACCTTTGGATGATGAGTCAGCAGTACTCCTGAAACAATCATGAGGCAGTGACTTTTGCTCAGGGCGGGTTCTACCTATGCTGCAGTTAGTACATGCAACACTGTGCGGAACTGAGTGTATTCCAAGAACAACATTTTATTTACAATGATACAATAACTTGAAAGGGCAAATGCTGACCTAAAGCATAGCTCTAAGAAGAGAAAAATTTGGCTAATGAAAGATTTGAGAATTTTATCCCATGGAGGCTGGTTGAGAGGACAATCTCTAGAATAGAGAAGTTTTAGATAAATATAAAGAAACGTATTGAATATTTAAACACCAGGTATATGTTGGTTTGTGATTCTTCATCACCCTTGTCTTTAAGGATATAAAATGTGAATGAGGGGTTACATTTATTCCCCATAACTCCATAGGACCAGTGAGTACAAATCACAGGAAAGCAGATTCCACTTCTGGAAATGTGGGAGTCTTGTTTTCCAGGGATCACATCTCATGATCAGTTCTTTGCAATTAGTTACTTGTGCTATTTATGGCAGACACAGGCAATATGTAGACTGTCCTAATTTTATTTTCATACAACGAAATCAGAAAATACCAATATGCTAATGGAGACAAGAAAGGATTTTGGCAGAGGGAAAGGATTTGGGAATTTGTGGGACTGAGGAGTGTTACCAATGCCTTGGGGAGAGCACACTACATGGGAATTTGGCAGAAAAGCGATAGCATATGGGTTTGGACCAGCAATGGCCAGCCAGCAGGATCCAGGCCAGGAGAGGAAATTTCACTAAGGATGAGAGTCAGTCGTATCTTTAGGGACATGTTGTCCCTTTGATATCAGAAAAGCAACTGTGAAATGAAGTCACGTAGGATTACATTTTCTACATGAGTCTACTCTTTCTACTCTTCTAAGAAAATTTCTTTCAGTATTTTGTAGAATATAAGACATACATTATTGAAGTAGATTACTTAAAGCACAGAAAACATCTCATTTGCAAATCCAAACTCTATGGGTCCAACTCTTTCCTAGTTGAAATATTAATAACCCACTGATTTATACCTTGCCCTTTATCATTGAGATATGATTCTTTACCTCTTATTTCAAATCATCTTTTTCTACATTTGCTATTGACTCTTCTCTGAAAACAGCAAGGTGATGGGCAGACCCAATTTAAAGGCACAGAGTCTATACTAATAGGCATTTGAAATATTGAATGTTCTTCACTCTTGTTCTGAATTCAGCTTACATATATATTTTTTTAAAGTTTTTATCTATAGCTGACCAATTAGGTTAATTAGACCGAATAGGAAGACATTATCTCTTCTTTCTTTAAGAGTGAATCCTGGTGCCCTCCTGATTTAAACATGTAAACCAAGTCCTTGGTTGAATAAATACCAACAGCATTTACTGTGCATTTGGTCTCTGATCCTTGACCTAATTTATGTGACCTTTGCTGTCTGTGTGTGCTTGAGCCCTCATAGGCACTGGTGAGGGCGCATCCAGCCAGACTCCAGCGGCTGAGGACGTGGCCACTAGGTGGCAGTGCCCCTCTGCTGAGGTGGGCACTGGCAGGACTCATTTCATGGGTTCTGAAAGCACAGACTCTCAGGGGAGGCAGAACCTTTCTGTAATTGGCGTAGATCATGTGAGGAAACCTCTACGGTTCTTAGGAAGAGACAGGACTGCCTGATACTAGAAGTAGCTGTTGACTGGAGGTTGCAGCGCGTGGTTGCTCCTGGTGGGAGTAACAATGAAGACATCCAGTCACGCTTTGGTCGTGTTCCTGTGGCTGCGGATGGACTGTGAGTGGAGGGATTTGGGGAAACAAGTGTAGTAAAAAGATAGTCTTTAGCAAACAAGAAGGCCAATGGCTTAATGGCTTCATTTAGGTCGACTTTAGCTTCTACTGAGAAGAGAAATAAGTTCTGGGGCGTTATAACCTGACAAACTCCCTTTCTTTGACTTTCTTTCTCCTTAGGGCTCAGCCAGGGGGAGAAAGTGGAGCAGCCTCCCACCCTGAGCGTCCAGGAGGGAAACAGAACTGTTATCAACTGTACTTATTCAGACAGTACCTCCTATTACTTCCTTTGGTATAAGCAAGAACCTGGCAAAGGTCTCCAGTTCATTATAGACATTCGTTCAAATAAGGGTGATAATCATGGACCTAGACACACTGTCTTTTTGAATACAGCAGTCAAACTTCTTTCCCTGCACATCTCTGTCACCCAGCCTGGAGACTCCGCCATGTACTTCTGCGCAGCGAGTGCACAGTGCTGTCCCGGCACCTGCAGCCTGTACTGAAACCTGCAACTGGCAGCCCCTCCCCTTGAGCACAGCCATCCCTCAAGCACAGCCTTTGTCATACTGTCTGCAGCGGGAAAAATGTATTAGACGTTAAAGCATATGATAAGGTTAGGCTCAAAATGATGCAGAAGCATTAGAATATTTTGTTCACTGATATTTGTTTAATGGATTTCTTTTTAAAAAATATTTATTTATTCATGCATACAAGATCTGGGGTAAAGGCCAGAGGTGTGTGGGGGGGGGTGTGAGAGGATTCACCAGAGACAGAGTGGGGAACAGAACAGGCAGAATGACTGAAATACAGTGCTGAGGGGAGCAGCGGGCGACTCAGGAGAGGTCTGCTGTGCCATGTGGGTTGCTTCCTGGCTGTCCAGGGATCGAACTCATGCTGCAGAGGCTGTGGACAGCTTCATGGTGCTGCCTCTTAACCACTTGCGCCTTAGGGAGGCCCCTGTCTAATGGATTTCTGTAGTGATATAGTGATGCTTTGTTTTGATGTTCAGACTTTAAAGATAATTTACATTTGGTCTTAAGACTCAGCTCATATCAACAAATCCTTGGTAACACTATCACATGGTTGAGCTCTTAACTTTTGTCTTTATAGCATTGCATATTGTTCATGATTACAAAATATTACATAGTAAATATGAATATATTTAGAATATGAACGTGAAAAAGTAAATCAGCACCCAAATAATTTGTGGTGTATATTGGTCTCATCTTCAAGTTTGACTAATGAAACATCACTTCCCCAATTTCTTTACAAAAAGTTAATTCTTTTAGTACTGAAGATGAATGAATAGAAAGAATTTGTGTAAGAAATGAATTCCTTATTTGTTGCACACAGTTTTCAACTTCATATTCCTCTGTGGATGGATATAGGAGCATTTACTGGACCAGGTGGTAGCCATCAACCGAGAGTTACCGTTAACTTGTTTGTTCTTGGAGGGACCGTCATTCGGTTAAATACACTGCTGAGGGGAGCAGCGGGCAAGTCAGGAGAGGTCTGCTGCACCATGTGGGTTGCTCCCTGGCCAGCCGGGGATTGAACTGGTGCTGCAGAGGCTGCAGATTGCTTCATAGTGTGGTGCTTAACACCTTGAGCTACCAGGGAGGCCCGGATAGTTGTCTTAATCACATATTTATATATGATTTTTCCAATAAGGCAACACTCACCATTTCCAGAGATTAGAATTTGATTTCACATAAATCATGTATGATTTCATACGTCAGTTGAGAAAATAACAATTGACAAATAACAATTTCCCTGTTCCCAAGAACTCCCTTGTTCTGTGTCATTTTTGGCCACACTTTCCGCCATCCCTAATTCCTTATAATCCTTGATTTGTTTCTTTATGTTTCTGTATTTTTAAGAATGTCATATATAATTTTTTGCCTGTACTGTGTTCAAATTAATATTGGATCATCCAAAGGCAGGTTGAGACTCCGCACACAGAGAACCTGACATGACCCCCGCTAACATGCTGCCCCAGGAGATCCCTGACCCTGCTCTGGGGCAACAGCAGCAGCACAAACCCAGTAAACCCCCCTCGCCTGGCAGGATCCCCTCACAGTGCAGAGCCTGACACTGAGGAAGAACACGCTCCTTCCTGTCTGGTGCCAGAACTGAAACGTGCTGTTCTCTGGCCTTCTGGATATAGCCTTGGTGTCCCTGTGGCTAGGGAGGGGGGCCCAGTGTGGGAAAGAGCCCCCTCTGTGACCTGAGGATCTGGGGTGCAGGTGTGTGTGGTGGGTACCCGGAAAAGAGTAGCACGCTGTCCACATTATTTATTCCTTGTCCCTGACTCTATCTTTTTCATTCCAAGATGCAGAATTGCCCAGATGGTGACTCAAACCCAACAGGCAATGTTAGTGCAGAAGGAGACCACAGCTTGAACTCACCTATGCCACCAGTTCTGTGAGTTCTGTGAGTCATAGTTTACTTTGGTACAAGCTGTCTAGACGTCAGGACATGCGTTTCCTTATTCTCCAGGATTCTTAAAACCAGCAAAATGCAACAGAAGGTGCCAGAAGACAAGAAGACCTGCAAATCCATCAGTCCTGTTATGTCAGAGTCACAGCAGGCAGACTCTGCAGTGTTTTTCTGTGCACTGAGTGAACCCAGGTGAGAGGCATTTTGGGGGAGGTTTACCCAACCCCTGGGCTCTGCTTGGTGCCTTCACCTTCTGTGGGAACCACTGTACTAGACTCTCATCACTGACAGGACCTACCTAGGGCTGTTGTAGCACAGGTATAAGTATAAGGTGAGTTGGAAAACACTCACTTTGAGAAAATCGTTCTCAGGTTTAGAGACTGTCCAGCATTGTCGGTCATCAACAATGCCTTTTTATCTAAATCATTATATTGATTGTGCACGTAAGAATTTTGATCAAGGATTCAAGAATGAGGACAGTCATATAAACCTCTTTGCATTTGGTGACTGTATGAGCTAGTGAATTGATTAAGTAAGTTCAGAAGCAAAACCAAAAAAAATTAACCAAAATATGTGTGAAATCTTGGGTTACCAGATCAGTTTGTTCAATAATTACTTATGAGCATGTTTTGTAGGAGAGGAAATACTCTGTATCTTCTTTGGTTCAGGGGCTGGGTCTTAGAATTAAACTCTCATAAGAGATTAACAGGAGAAAAACATAGATATTTTATTACATTTTTACATCAATGCTTGTATCATATAATGACATGTTCTCAAGTTTCATCCATTTTATAGGAATTTCTTGCTTTTAAAAGTCTGGAAAGTATTCAACTAAATGTAGTACAACCCCTGTGAATTCATTTATTTATTTATAGCCATTTTAGTTGCTTCCATCTTTTTTTTTTTTTTGCAATTTTTTAGTAATGTTGTGAATATGTGAATTCACATTTCTTGGTATTTGAGTACATACCCACATTACTTTAATTTGGAGGGTTTATACCTACACTGGATCTGGTGGTTCATCTGGCAATTCTGTTTTTAATTTTGAAGAACGACCGTTCTGTTTTATACAGTGGCTGCCATTTTAAATTCTCATGAACAGTGCAAAGGGTTCAATTTTGCATATCTTTGTCATCACTTGGTTTCTTTCATTTTTGGGGGGGTTTTCTTTTCTTTTTTTGGACAGTATATACCTATCCTAATGGGTGTGAGATGATTTCTCATTCAGGGTTTAATTTGCGTTTCCTGAGAATTAGTGATGTTTAGCTGTTATTCAGATTCCTAAGCCCCACCCAAAGACTGGTATGTGCCTGATTAATAAAGTCAGGACTTGGGAGGGGTCCAGGAAACACACAGACCTTTTCAGACTCTGTCCACCAGGGGGTGCAGCTTCTCAACACACGCACATACTTCCTGAGAGAAATGCAGGCTGGCTTGATCATTTCACTGTGACTTCAGCATTTCTTCTTGTTGAGAATCAAGAACCTTTAGGTGACTCTCTAGAGATGAACTCTTCTCCAGGCTTAGTGGCTGCGGTCCTCTTAGTGCTTGGTAAGTTAATGCCTGTTCAAATTTGGATTTTTTCCCATGTGTTATGTCAGCAAAATCTTGAACTGTTAGGTAAGTAAATTCTTGAACCATAATTTTATCCAAAAGCTTTATGTCCCAGATGACACAAGTCTCTTTTATTTTTCCAGGACAAACACATGGAGACTCTGTGACCCAGCAGGAAGGCCAAGTGACACTCTCAGCAGGGGACTCCCTGAATGTGAGCTGTACTTATTCAGTCAGGATATGCCATTCTTTGCTGGTATGTCCAACATCCTGGAGAAGGTCTACGGCTCCTGCTGAGAGCCCAGACAGTCGATAAGAGGGAGAATAAAGAAGGTTTTGAAGCCACTTACCGGAAAGATCCCAATTCCTTCCACTTGGAGAAAACCTCAGTACAAGAGTCAGACTCGGCTGTGTACTACTGTGCCCTGGGTGACACAGTGACAGAAACTGCAGGGGGAGCTGAGCGCAAACTGAGCTGCAGAAGGGGCCTGGCTGCTGAGTGCCTCTGAGTATTTGATTCACTGTGGTTTTAGCACAGTCTGTGATCTTTTGTCCCCCAGTCTGGTTAATTCACAAATCATACAAAAGTCCAGAGCATAAGGACAAGAAGTAAGCATTCCCATACCCCGCTCTTCATTTCATAATAAAATTGCCACAGAACCAAACCAAACAGAATTCCTCACATATCATCAAGCTAATAAAAAAGAATGCCCCAAAAGGTTTATTGCAGTGTTATCTTTCATAGATAAAAGAAAAAACATCTTAAATGTTCACTAATAAAGGAAGATATGTTTTCCCTCATATGACATTTTAAAAATAGTAATTGGTTCTTTTAAACTTAGAGTTAAGCGAATTAGGTAATTTCTTTTTCAATCGTCTGCATATCCTTCTTCAGGAAACATGGAATGAATGAGACTCAGGTTTTGTGGCTGCTGGGCTGGTGCATCTGAACTAGTCTTTGTTATGATTTCAGCCCACCGGGGGGCACTGTAGACCTTATAAGACAAAGGCCTCCTGATGGTCCCAGATGTTGAACCCTTAAGACCCAGACAGCATTGAGTGCCTGTAGCCAAGGCTGAAGATGGGGAGCAGTGGTGTCTGTGAAGTTCACCTCAAGTTTTCAGTTTTGCCACTCTGTATACGCTTCATAACGCTGGAGCCCATGCTGGATAAATTCTCATTGACACTGATCCTCTGGCTGAGCTAGTGGAACAGGAACATCACTGGGCACGTGAGCCTGGAAGGTCATCAGAACACCTCTCCATTAGCTGTTTTCAATTAAAAAAAACAGTTATGACTAGAATACCCCAAATCCAAGAACTTGAAAATAATTCTAGTACAACTAATATCTACTATCCTACCTTTTCATCTATTTCCACTGGGACAGAAAGGAATAACAACAGTAGATGAAGGGACAAAAAAAAAAAAAAAAAAAAGAAAAAGAAAAAAGGAAAGAAACACAAATAGAAGAAGGAAGGGAAAGGGTTATAGCTTGACAGCAGTGAGTGCCCTGAGCAGAGTCAGCCTGTGGGTCAGGACTGTAGCGGAGGAGAGGAGAGGGGGAAATTAGTGTAGATATAGCTTCACATTTTCTATGTTTGTGGGAATCATTTTATACACAGAGTGTAACTACATGTCCTGGATTTCTAGAACTCTCCTGATTTTAGAAAATATATTTTCTTGTTTAATACGCAATGCAACATCTCAGAGAATCTCCCTCTGTCAGAATTATCTTATAACTGAGCCCTAATATTCTAGGCCAATGTAGCAATTTTGGAAATGGAGACACTCTCCCCAGGCGCTGCTTCAGGCTTCATTATTTTTCCATGTAAAAGTTACCCAGCTGAGGCACTGGTTGTTTTCAGAAGTATGGTCCTCTCTTCCCCATACTCTAACCCTTACATTTTTCTTACATAAAGTCTTTAAAGGAAAAAAAATGCTTATAATCACATACATTGGGAATAGTACCCCTCACTCCCCTGCACTGTTTTCTTGCACACCTTGGAGAGATTACCTTGTGGGCTCAAAGGACGCTGTGGGTGGGGTTTCCTGTTAGGGGATGAAGGAGCTCAGATGTGATTGGTGCTCAGTGATGCTGGTGGAACGTGTTGACTGTAACTTCCAGAACCCAAGACTTGACATCCTCCAGAGTGGGAGTGAAGGCACCCCAGCTACAAGAGAGGGATCATGAGACACTGGGATGCGTTCTTGGGGTTTCTGTGGGTCCAGGTTTGCTGTGAGTTGGGGGCCTTCCCAGATGGGGTCTGGGGAGATCTGCCAGCTGACAGAGGGGCGGGGAGGGGTTGTTGACACCGAGCTCCTAGAGGCTTCTCCATGCTCTTGGGTGTTTCTTGGGATCTTATACAAGCTTAGAATCTGCATAGTCATTGCCTGTTGGGTCATATGTATCTGTTCTTCTCCATGCAGGGGTGAGAGGGATGCAAGTGGAGCAGAGTCCTCCATCCTTGAGTCTCCCGGAGGGAAACAGCTCCACGTTTAGATGCAACTTTTCTAGCTCTGTGCAAGGAGTGCAGTGGTTCCGACAGAACCCCGGGGGCGGCCTGGTCACCCTGTTTTACACAGCTTCAGGGACTCCGAAGAAGGAGGGAAGGTTAACCACCACACTGAACTTTAAGGAGTACAGCACCCTGCACATCGAGGGCTTCCAGCTGGAGGACTCAGCCACCTACCTGTGTGCGGTGCAGGCACAGTGCTCCGGGGTGATGTGCAGCCTGTACCCAAACTGCAGCTGGGCCCCAGCCCACCCCTTCTTGGGAGTGGGGGCAAGTCTGTGTCTCTGCAAGGCTCCAAAGAAAAGGACAGTAAATCTTGTGGATAAATTATTATAAATTATATACACATGAACTTTGAAATAAAACGTGAGATCATAATTCTCCAAAGGTTAGAAACTCTGGTTTTAGAAATAGCTGCAAATTGGAATGCAAATATCTGTAGGTTTAGAAATAGAAAAGAAAGATAATAGCTTAAGTAGAAATCAACATTTCATGTGAACTATGAACTAATTTAAAACAAAATATTAATGCAGAGATAATTTAAAGTTAATTTTCCTTGTATGTAAAAACAGTGATGAAATATATAATAGGCAGTCTGATTAATATATAGATCATGAAGCCATATTTTATTCATCATACACCATACACAAGTTACATAAATGTCCAGAAGAAGCACTGAAATGTCAATGTACAAATTTACATTTAAAATGAAATTCTGACTACATGAAACTGGTATGAAGAGTTAAATCATTTGTAGAAAAATTGTTTTACCAGAGACAGCTCTAGCTAGATTTACTAATACTTTATCTCAAGTTAATTTAGTGGCTGTTATGCAATATTGTCATAGCATATAAAATACTCTTAAGAACTCTAGTGTTGGGGACATCAACTGAAATACCCTTCTTTAAATTAAAAATTACCAAAAATTCTGTTTGTAATCTTGCATTTACCAACAGTAACTAATTTCCTTTCAATTATATTAGTTGAAATAACGTTACTAAACATTAAATTTGATATTCTGATAAATTAACTTGCCAAAAAACAATCTAGAGAAATCTTATTATTGTCAATATAGCCTTCTAACAATAATATCACCAGTTATTACATAAAATTATGATCACCAGATTTTTTTTGCACTCTGTAAACTTGCATTGTTATTTGTTATCATTATAAATCCTATTTTTGTATTAGTGAGAAAATATTTTTATTTTTATTTATTTATTTATTTATTTTTTTATAGAGGCATGTTTTATTTATTTATTTATTTGTTTGTTTGTTTGGTTTTTTGTTTATACATGCACTGGGTACAGTCAGAAGCGCAGGAAGGTGAGAGAATTCACCAGAGCCAGAGCGGGGAGCAGAACAGGCAGAAGGACCGAAGTACACTGCCGAGGGGAGCAGCGGGCGGCAGGAGAGGTCTGCGCACCATGCGGGACCCTCCTCCAGTGGCCGGGGAGCAGCCGGGGATCGAACCGGCACCGCAGAGGCCGCGGGCAGCTTCGCAACCCAGCGCTCAACCGCTGCGCCACCGGGGAGGCCCGAGAAAATATTTTTAAAGAGATATTTATATTTTATTGCCAGTTCATCACTCACTGGCTTCTGGAGGAGTGATCCATGGTGCTTGGACTGTCCTCAACACCCACATGTAGTTGTAGGAATTCTCTAGAAATAGTAAAAATATTCATTTCCCTGGTACACATCTCTTGGAGGCAACATGTAAATATGAATATTGAGCATCAGGAATACATTGTTATAAAAATGATCCTGAGATCCAGAGACTAAAAGGAACATTGTACTCATACAGCTGGCAGCCTGGAAAGGTACTAGAAAAGGCCTTTCCAACTCAAGACCCTTGGATGATGAATCGCAGTATTCCATGACATAATCATGAGGCAGTGATTTTTGCTCAGGGCTGACTCTACCTGTGCTGCAGTTAGTACTCGGAACACTGTGCTGAGCTGAGTGTTCTCCAACTATAACATTTTATTTACAATGATACAATAACTTGAAAGGGCAAATGCTGACCTAAAGCATAGCTCTAAGAAGAGAAGAATTTGGCTGATGAAAGATTTGAGAATTTTATCCCTTGGAGGATTGTTGAGAGGTCAATCTCTAGAATAGAGAAGTTTTTTTTTTTTTAAAAAAAGATTTATTTATTTATTTATACAGGCACTCGGTACAGTCAGAAGCAAGGGAAGGTGAGAGAATTCACCAGAGGCAAAGCAGGGAACAGAACAGGCAGACTGATGAAATACACTGCTGAGGGGAGCAGCGGGCACGGCAGTAGAGGTCTGCATGCCATGTGGGACCCTCGCAGGTGGCTGGGGATCGAACCGGTGCTGCAGAGGCTGCGGGCAGCTTCACAGCCCAGGCCTCAACTGCTGCGCCACCAGGGGCGGCCCTAGAATAGAGAAGTTTTAGATAAATATAAAGAAACACATTTAATATTTAAACACCAGTGTGTATATTGGTTTGTGATTCTTCATCACCCTTAAATCTTTAAGGATATAAAATGTGAGTGAGGGGTTACATTTATTCCCCATAACTCCAAAGGACCAGTGAGTACAAATCACAGGAAAGCAGATTCCACTTCTGGAAATGTGGGAGTCTTGTTTTTTAGGGATCATATCTCATGAACAGTTCTTTGGGATCAGTTACAGATTTGTGCTATTTATGGCAGACACAGGCAATATTTAGACTGGCCAAGTTTTATTTTCATACAAGGAAATCAGAAAATACTAGTAATATGTTAGAGTAGACAAGAAAGAGTTTTTGGCAGAGGGAAATGATTCTGGAAATTCATGGTACCGAGAAGTGTTACCAATGTCTTGGGGAAGGCACACTATACAGGAGTTTGGGCAAGCAATGGCCAAGCAAGCAGGAGTCCAGGCCAGGAGAGGAAATTTCACTAATGACATTAGCCAGTCATTTATAAAAGGACATGATCATTTTGATTGCAGAAACACACCTGTAAAATAAAGTTATGTAGGGTTACATTTTCTACCTCTGAGTCTGAGAATTTCTACCCTTCTGAAGAAAATTTCTACTTTATTTCAGTATTTTGTAGAATATAAGACATATAATAATGGAATTGATTCCTTAAAGCATGTCAGGTAACTCAATGCAAATCAATCAATTCTATGGGTTAAACCCTTTCCTAGTTGAAATATTAATAACTCATTAAGTTATCCCTTGTCCCTATGATTGAGATATGATTCTTTACCTCTTACTATAAATCATCTTTACTGGAGGAAGATTCCGCACATTGACAGTTGGTATTGATGATTCTCTGAAAATTGCAAGGTCATGGAAACCACCGATTTAAACGAATAGAATCTAAGCTAATAGTCACTTGAAATACTGAGTCTCTGCACTCGTACTTTGACCTTTGGCTTGCGTGTAGTTTTTGAAAGTTTTTATCCATAGCAGAAAATGAAGGTAGTTGATTGGACTGAAGGGGAAAACATTATCTTTTCTTTCTGTAAGAGTGAATCCTGATGCTTTCCTGATTTAAACATGTAAACCAAGCCCAGCATTGAATGAAAACCCACCTCATCCACCTCTTTCCAACTTCCACACAATGACTCAGTAGTGCACAGAGACATAAACCTTGACTAGCACAGTCTTACTGTGCATTTGGTCTCTGATCCTTGACCTGTTTTATGTGACCTTTGCTGTCTTTACTGCTTGAGCCCCACATAGGCACGGGTGAGGGCACATCTAGCCAGACTCCAGCGGCTGAGGACGTGGCCACTAGGTGGCAGTGCCCCTCTGCTGAGGTGGGCACTGGCAGGACTCATTTCATGGGTTCTGAAAGCACAGACTCTCAGGGGAGGCAGAAGCCTTTCTGTAATTGGCGTAGATCATGTGAGGAAACCTCTACGGTTCCTAGGAAGAGACAGGACTGCCTGATACTAGAAGTAGCTGTTGACTGGAGGTTGCAGCGCGTGGTTGCTCCTGGCGGGAGTAACAATGAAGACATCCAGTCACGCTTTGGTCGTGTTCCTGTGGCTGCGGATGGTCTGTGAGTGGAGGGATTTGGGGAAACAAGTATAGTAAAAAGATAGTCTTTTGCAAACTAAGAAGGTCAATGGCTTAATGGCTTAATTTAGGCCTAATTTGTTGCTACTGAAAAGAAAAATGAATCCTGGGGCGTTATGACCTGACAAACCTCTTTTCTTTGACTTTCTTTCTCCTTAGGGCTCAGCCAGGGGGAGAAAGTGGTGCAGCCTCCCACCCTGAGCGTCCAGGAGGGAAACAGCGCTGTTATCAACTGTACTTATTCTGACAGTAATTCAGATTACTTCCCTTGGTATAAGCAACTACCTGGAAAAGGTCCTCAGTTCATTATACACATTCGTTCAAGTAGGAATGTTAGTGAAGAACCTAGACACACTCTCTCATTGAACAAAACCGCTAAACATCTTTCCCTGCGCATCCCAATCACCCAGCCTGGAGACTCTGCCGTGTACTTCTGCGCAGCGAGTGCACAGTGTTGTCCCTGCTCCTGCAGCCTGTACTGAAACCTGCACCTGACAGCCCCTCCCCTCGGGCACAGCCCTTCCTTCAAGTTCAGGCTTTGTCGTATTTTCTGCAGCAGGAACTAGGGTATTAGATGTTAAAGCATTTAATAAGGTTAAGCTCAAAATGATCCAGAACGGTTAGAATATTTTGTTCACTGACTTTTCTTTAATGGATTCTTGTAGGGATTTAGTGATACTTTGTTTTGAGATTCAGGTTTTAAAGATAACTTTACATTTGGTCTTAAGGTTCAGTTCATATAACAAATCCTTAGTAACACTATCACATGGTTGAGCTTTTAACTTTTGTCTTTATAACATTGCATATTGTTCATGATTACAAAATATTACATAATAAATGTAAATATATTTACAATATAAAAGTGAAAAAGTAGATGTGCACCTACATAGGTTTTGGTTAATATTGGTTTACTGTTTTTATAATTTGTAGTATAATTAGGATTCAGTTTTTTCACGGAATACTTATTAAATCTTGAATCGACCATTTCCAGTTTCATTCTTTCCTTTGACACCAGGTTTTAATGGCTCTCTGTGAGATTCTTGTCAGTTGCAATTATATTTTAATTTTCTCACTATCTATATATTTGTGGTAAAATTTATGTGCTTTATCCACTCTCTTGTTGAGGAAATGTGACTTGTATTTTCTTGTAGAACCCTTTATGGTATATACTGCTAGTATGTTTGAGGAAAATTATGACAGGATGTGATTGAAGAATGTGTGCTTCAGCTTCAATACACAAGTTTATTCTTTTAGTTTCAAAAAGTGTTTGTTCACTTTTATTCTCAAGAATTTAG